TGCAGTATGCAAAACAATTAAACTACAAAGAAAAAATGTACTTAACCAAATTATTCAGTAACACGAGAAAGTTTAAATAAATATTTAACTTGACAAATTTTTTTCTCGTTCTGACTCATTTGTTGCCAATTAACGTAATGTATCTGGATTAGATTACCATACTGGGTTTTTGAATATTGTGTATTAAATCAGTCATGTCTTTTTACACGATACTAAAATCAATGGATCATATTAAGATAGCATTCTTGAAGCACAAGAAATCAATCTTAGAATTCTTTTTGTTTCGAGTTAGGAATTTTCTTGTTGAGCTTTATTTAATATATCTCTAATTATATCTCAAAGACTAATATCAAGGCAATGTATATAATCGAATGTCGGTCTAGCGTCTGAGAATATCTGTATGATCAAACAAGAATGATTTACTACAGTGAAAATATTGAAATATTCAATTGAATTTCATATTAATTAAAAAACTCTATAGTAGATTTTCATGAGAAATATGAATTGATCATCGATTTCAAGATATGTTCAACCATTGATTATTTACTAAAGTATAAGATGACTTTTTTTTTAATCAGCAATTGATTCAATATCATCCAACTAGAATTAGTTGGTGTTTTATGAAGACTGTATGATGATATTAAACTTCTTCGATTTACTTTAGACATTTATCATGATCATTATCCAATGACTCCGTTGCACGTTGAGAGTCTGTTTGAGAACAGTAGATCACAAAGATAAGGATTAAACCTATCAACAATAAAATCGTTATAAGTCATAAGATGTATTCGACTATGATTTGATCATTGTTCTCAAACTCATCATTATACTGGAGTGGATCAACCAAAACCAAGGAAGGTAAGTAGTCTTCCTACTTTTGAAAGCTGTTACGTTAGCTTTCTGCCGTTTTCGATAAGCTATCAAAGTTCAATTTTATCCAATATTGGAAGAGTTTTAGAATATTTATTTCTTTAGTTTTGTGCGTTTTACACGACAATTGACTTGACTGTTGTCAAGATTTTTTTCTAATGGGACTGTTTCAACAATAAAACAGTGTTGAAAACTACTGAAAAACCTGGTAACTTCTTACGATATGTCTAGTTGTTATTGAAATATTAGAACCATTGACTAAAATATTTGAAGTAACCAGATGAATGAAGTTTATCAACTTTTTTTCGATAATAGATTAACTTATAAATATTTTGAAAATTTTGCCACAGAAATAGTACTGATATCATGAATTATTCGATGGATACAACCGCCAAATTTAACTAAACTTCTTGTTGTCTTCGGAAGCAGAAATTAGTTCGTCTGGTTTTTGAAAGCTTAGTATGAATTTCTATAAAATTCGATAGCTACTGTACTGACCTAAAATTGTCACGAATGTCACTACCTTTAGCAATGAAAAAGATTAAGAAATTTTTTGACAGAAGTGCGAAATTCTTCTTCTAGAAGTAGCTTCGATTGAAAGATAGAACTTATTGATGCCGACGCTAAGTTTTCCTACGGAGCGAATGGTTTTGACTTGTATGTAAATGTCGGTCGAACGCAACAACATTTTCTTCATACATGTAAAACTCGTCATAAGTATTCCAGTTCTACATATATAACTAGGTGTGTGCCACGAAACAAGAACGTACCTGTAAGCATACAGACGGAGAACATCGTGCCAGATGCAGGTGCTGCGAAAGCAGAAAAAAAGAACATCGATCATGCTTCCGATGCCATATCTATGTATTTGTCACATTGTACCGATTCTGTACGTATCAACATATCATTCCTGGGATATGCTAGTGATTTAGAAATATAAAACTAAAACTCAAATGTCTCGTATATCTCTTATACTAGGGCTTAATTGAGCGTTTTGACATATCGTCAAAAAAAAAACATGTAAACACTTAAATTATGTAAGAAGTTACATCAAAAAATTTAGAGCAACGTAATACGCGAAAATACGACGATATACGAGCATGCTTCTTCGACTTGGGTAGAAAATCTTAAAAACATATGACACAATGTGAGGCTGAAAATCGTCAAGCTATTGATAAAGCTTCAAACTTGAACATTTGAATTTATTAGTTTTAATTTAATAGTTAAAAACTCGAAGATAACTGTTAAACTTGTAACGGATTAACGTGCTTTACACTAGGGCTGTTGTAAAGTCACTGAAAAAATCAGATAAGTTTCCGATGTGAAATACTACTTTCAAGTTCCATTAACTTGTAAAGTTTTCCTATCGGAACCTGTTCGAACTTCTTGACCTAGGAATATGGTATGCCCTAGGAAGCAAGAATTGATTTCCGAATTTTTCTCAAGTTTTACGGCGACAATTTGCCAGAAGTTGATGGATCCATGTACCAAAATCATTGATCTGAATAGCAAGATCAAAAAGTAAATTATGTAAAATCGGGCTATAGATCTGACAATCTGTTAACATTGATGATTATCATATTTGAATATGTTTATAGATATTGAAATGTATGTCTTACAAAGAAAGCATTGATACAAAACTAAAACGACATCTATTGATTTGAAATATATTTATTATTTGATAAAAATTTTTAATAATTTATATTCTTCATCCTATTCATTATTTTTAGGAAAATTTTAGATTAATTTTGCTGGTTTAAAACATTAATTATACCCAATAATATATTTAGGTCATTTTTATTCTTCCTACGCGTTGTTTTTTTCTCCAAATCTATACATAAACTTATTTGTTTATTTGTTTGTAAGATACCAAAAGATAACAAAAAAAAACGATTGAAACTACTAACCGAATTCTTTTTTTTTTATGCTAAAAAACAGAACATTTTTTGCATATTTACACGTTTGAAATTTTTGTTGGGATATTTTGCTTTTTTTTTTATTTCGTTTTTATTATATTAATAAAATTCCAAAACAATTATGTTTTCTCTAGTGTAATACTTATTATTTATACAAACTCACAGTATGGATATAGAATTTTCATCAAGTGTATTAGATACGCCATCTTTAATGACACCAAATATTAGTTTAAATCCAATTATGTATAAAATTTCACAAGCATCTACAACAGTTGATATAAACACTGAGGATAATAATGATTTAAGTTCTAATTCATCGTCTATAATAACAACAAATGATGAATCATTATCTATGTCATCAAATGATATAAAATTATCGAAAATAGAAAATGACCTCAAACAAACTTTTGCACAACGACGTAAACCAACTGAATCATTGTTTCAACAAATGGCAAAAGCTGGAGTCCTGACATTTCCAAATGGTCCTGTACCTTCTACCACTGATGATGCCATATCTACCGAGATACCTTCAACAGCAGAGGTAAAATGAATCATCACCTATGATTCATCGGTTTTTTTTTAATATTCCTATTTAAGGTTATGAGTGTCATTGAATCATTTTCCAAAGAATCAACTCAAGACAATACAGAACGCGAAACGACAACAATAATAACTGGTGATAGTAATAATCATTTTGATACATCATCATCACATACAATGGGTGTTGTTGTTGCACCAAAAAAGAAACTTCTTCAAAGAACTCAGTCCCGTACTGAACCAACATCACCAACATCAATTACAAATAATCTTTTTTCTCAATCACCAAGAACTGATAGTGATGATGTAGGCTTAATGGATGATGATCGTCAATCATATAGTAATACTGATTTTCAACCTTTACATGATTTACCATTATTAATACATCCGATTGATTCAAATCCACAATTAGATAATGGTTTAAAACCATCTTATACAATACAATCAAAATCAGATCAAAATGGAGTACATCCAACAATGATTAAACAACAACCAATGACACCCACAAATAAAAGAACATTTCAACAGACTATTATTGGTAATTAAATTAAGCTATTTTATCTTTCTATGACATAATTTTGCTTATATTTAGGTGGATCAATGGCAAAAACTAATTCCGTTCTTATTTCTCAACAACCGGCTATAAATGAAGTCACATCAAGTCATCAATTATCTGGCATAAAACGACAAAAACCAACTCCAATACAAGCAAATACTCTACATTCGAATTCATTAATTCCATTATCAACAACAAAAAATGACAATAATACCAATAATAATAATAGTATTTTATCCGATGATCAACGTAAAAAACAAATACGTGATAGTAATCGTGAAGCAGCAAGACGTTGTCGTGAACGTCGTCGACAACATATTGAACAACTTGAAGGAACTTTAGAACAATGTAAACAACAAATAAAACAATTAAGTGAAAAATTATCTCATGCTGAACGTGAAAATACACAATTACGTGCTATTTTATCTGAAACAAAAAGATTTCATTCAACAACATGTCTTTCATCAAATGAATCAATGATTGATTTTTCTAATGTAATAGGAACAAATGGAATTGATCTTAATTCAGATTCAACTGATGGAAATATAATGCCAAGAAATTATTTTTCTAGAAATACACATTAATCTTCATAATCGAAGTTTTTCCATTTTAATACAATATTTATGACAATTCGAGATTATTCAAGAAAAACAAATGTATACATATTATTAGACAAAAAATAAATATACAGTGTGTATGAACCGGTTATAATTTTTCTTTTGTTTATTTGTATATTTTATTCGAAAAAAAAAAAAAGAAAAATTGTTTTTTTTTCTTGCAGTGATGTTTTTTTCTTTCAAATATTTTTTTTTTCTTTTTGTGTATTGCTATACTATTATTGTATTTATATAAAAAACATTTAATTATTCTTATTATTCTTTATATATCTGTAAAGATCAAAAATCGGAAGATTATTTCGTTTTCTTTATTTTCTTTCTGTATTGTTTTCAATCTTGATATTTCTAGTGAGTATAGATTTCTATACAATGATAATTTTATTTATCTTTTATGCTCTTGGTTATTAAATTCATGTATCTTTCGAATGCATTGTTTTGTGTGTATGTGAAAAAAAAAATTAAATAAATCTTTCTTTTTTTTTTTTATTTTTTAGATATAACAATATGAAATTTATTTTTTTTATTGTTTTTATACCGACAATTTTATCATTGTCATATAATGATGGTAAATTTGATTTATTTATCTTATAGAAAAATAACATTTTTTTTTAATATTAATTTTAGTTACAATTGATTCTGATGATGCTTGTTGGTCAAATGAGAATAATAGTACAATAGAAAAAAAATATGCTATTCTAGTACACTTTTCATCTCAAATTGCTTATGGAAAAGATAATTGTTCCGTACATATAACCAATCCTTGGTTACGAAATATGCAAAATGGATTTGGTTTATTTCTACCACGGCAAATGGATTGTTCATCAACTCTTATAGTTGATTGTCTTCCTGATGCTACTTTAATTAATCAAGTAAATATATTGTTTAATTTATTTTTCTTTTATTATCTTTGACTTTACTAGACAAAACCATTACCAGTACAATTTACATGTCATACAAGTGCAAATAAAATTACAATGCCTTGTAGTTCAATTAGTTTAACATTTAAAAGAAATCTAAAAATGTCAGAAATAAAAAAGACAACACTTGTACAAGTTGTTGCATTAGCTAAAAGTAATTTCGTTTTGTTTTTTAAAAAATTTAATTTTGAAATTTTGTTTTTATTTTAGAACCTTGTCTTGATGATGATATTTTTTTTCAATGTCCTAAAGATTATCCTAATTCATGTATTGATAAAACATTGAAATGTAATGGACGATCTGAATGTCCAAGTGGAGATGATGAACATAATTGTCATGGTATGTATTTAGTTCTAAAATTTGCGACACATTAGAAGAATTGAAGATCTTCGTATTTTAACTTATTATTCATAATTAACAAGAAAATCCTCTGATGTAGTTCCTCATAGAAGATTAAAAAGATTTAAAATTCTATTATTTTTCACGCTTTTCTTTCCGTATTTTTACATTCTATATGGTTTTATTCTGTTTTTTCCTTCTTGCGTATGTTGCTCGGCTCATTTTCAAATTTTCTATTCAATTTTGGATCTATTTTAAGCCATATTATTATAATCTATTCTTTCAGTCTTCTAATAAAATCAGTTTATAATTATCAGGAAATGAATTATTTTGTACTTGTTTTAGTATTAATTATTTTTCTATTATTTCACTTCTTACGGATTGTTAGGCAGTCATGAATCCTGTTAATATTGTAAAATGCCTGTTGGATTTAATTATAGATTTCACTTCACCTGTCACTGACAAAGAACGTTGGTGTGGAATAGAGATATCGCCTATAGGCATATTCTTCAGTCTTTTCCATTATCAGACGTCAAAAAATTATAATTTCGAGTGTTCCGACGAGCTTCAAAGTGTATTATGTGTCTCTAAACATTGTAAACGTTTTATGCCTCCCGCTCGTTCTGTGTTTTGACAAAAAAAAAAAAAACATTTTTCGCTATAAAAAATTGGTTCACGAGAAAACTGAATGTTCGAAGACCTAGCAGCAAAAATCACGTTAATATTTGTAATTAGCATGCTCAATAACTTATCATCCATTAGATTTCGGCTAAGTGATCTTTTCTCGTAAGAAACAAACCCAATAAGATGCAGAACTTATTTTTTAAAACAATTCAATTTTCACAAGGGAAATCTTCTAATGTATCAATAACTTTATAATATGCATAATGAAAAAGTTTTTGTTTGTTTAGTTACATCTGACAATGGTTTTTCAATAATTGCATTTTGTCTAATAATATTGGCAGTTTTGTTTCTTATTTGTGTTTTATCAACAGGTAAAATAATGAAGAAAAAGATGTTATTTTTAATTATTTTATTTTTAAGTTTGTATATGCTGTTGTTGTCGAGCAGCATTTAATCGAATAATTCGACGTTTTCGTTCTAGTCAAGGAAATAAATCTAGTCAAAGTTAGTTATCATTTATAATTTTTATTTAATCTATTAAAGAATTTGAATTTTAGAAGACATTACTAGAACAACTGGTGAAGATGCTGTTTTAATGAAAGAACTTACAGCATCGACAGCTGCTGTAGAAGTTTCATCTCAACAACGTATTGAACCTGCACCATTAATCATTGATTCAACTAAACCAATTTATCCTCGTTTGGAATAAATCATCAAGTCAGATATGAAATAGTTATAAACAAAGATCTCCTTTTTTTTGTTTCGTTGTAATTCCTTTGCTTATTGTTCATTTGTGTCAGATTATGTTTTTTTTTTTCTTCACTGCAATCTCAGCTTGATGATTTGAGCTTCAGAAACAATCGAATTTTGCTGGAACTAATCGAAAAAAAATATCAGACAATCATTGTATTTAATCGGAAAAATTGTAGAATGTGGGAAGCAGTATTTTGAACTGAAATATCTTCGGATTTTTTTTTGTCAATGAAATACTGCTTTTAAGTTCGATCAATTTTCGATTTTTTTCTTGTTGAAATAGATAGAGCTAACTATCAGATTTATGATTCCAAGTTTTGACTATCTTTCGACTAGTTCCCAGCGAAAATCTATGAGTTTCGACATTACTATCGTTGATTTGAGTTGCTAAAAGCATTAATATGTGTTAAATGTTGTCATTAAAATTCACGAAAAACAAAATTTAATGAATAAAATTAATGTATACAATATATTTGAAAAACATTTTTTCGCGACTTTTTAGATGTTATCATTAATTAATATTTTGCTTCTAACGTTTTTATCATGTTCATTTGCTAAAGTAACATACTGTAAGCTAAATCTATTTATCGAAGAATAAGCTCTTTAAAAAAAAAGTTTGTTTTGTTTTAGTCAATCTTGAAAATACGTATGGACCATATTGTAATCCAAATAATAAATTTACACCCGATGCAGGAATAGTTCGTTATGCTGGGTTCGTCAAAAATGTTTTTTTTTTCATATGTTCGATGTTTTTTTTTTGTTGTTATTATTATCTAGAACACCATGGATTGGTACATGTGTATTAAATATACAAAGTTGTTGTTTACCAACTTTTCAAAATGGATCATTAATGCCTAATCTTTCTATATCAACAAAATTTTATCTTCATCTAGTCATACCACCATTATGTTTGACAGAAAATGTAACTGTAAAAGCTGAATCAGGTGAAATGGTAATATAATTGAAAAATTTAAATTTCTCTTCATAATTAATTATTATATTAGATACTAATTGATTGTAATACAAAAAATGGTAGTGAATATTATTTTGATACTGAACAATTAACAATTACATATATTCGAACAGAAAAATTACCATTATCAAAATTTTCAATGATTCTTACACCATTAAAACTAAAAACAAGTATTTTTATAAATTAAAAAAAATTTTTTGTTGGTTTTTTTTTATGTAAATTAATATTTCTAGGAACATATACAAAATGTGCATTTGATTGTTTTTCGGATGTTTATTGTATTGATCAAAGTCTTGTTTGTGATCGTTATAGAAATTGTCCGAATAATGTTGATGAAGCATATTGTGAATATAGTAAGTGAATTAATATATATATTAATAATGAAATATTCAATAATTTTCTAGGTCATCATCATGAACCATTATCATATCGTTCGAAAGTTATTCTTTTTTTTGTTTTATTGATAATTATTTCATCTGCTATATCTTCAATATTAATTTGTTTTTTCTGTTGTGGAGCTCCGACAACTAATCATATTAATAGTGCAAGCAAAGAACGAAGATCAAGTATGAAATTATTATTAGTTAATAAATATTTCTTGACAATATTATTTTCTATATTTAGCTCCTACAGAAATAGATGAAAATGGTACTGTGGTCACTCCACTTTTATATCCATAATTTTCACAAGATAATAAATTTCATTTAATGATCAAAACTTAATGTTTTTTAATCTCTTATTATTACTAGTCATTTTATTGTATATTTATTTATATTGTTCAGATACAAAATATTGCATGTGTATCATTGATTTATTTTATTTATTTATTTATTTATTTAAGCATTTATCATAAATGTTATTAGTATGTGTTTATTATTAAATGTATAAAAATATTTTCAAATAAAATATATGTATTTCATTATTATTGTCATGAAAAATTGCTTCCTTTTATTTCTTTCAGTGAATTAATTTAATATCTGTTATGAATTTCATTCAATAGAGAATTGATTTTTCTACAAAATAGTCTACTTTGTTTTTCAAAAGCATGTTCCTTGTTGGTATAATATTCAAAAGATGAACATGTACTTAATTGTCTATCAATAATAGTCAAAAACTAGGAAAATCTCTTGATAAATATTTGGCTGGAAGTTGAAAATATGTTATAATATATCATGGAAAACTCTGTATCTTTTCCAAACCTTTAAAATAAATATTTTTTTAGTAGAATGTTTGAGATTACAATAGAAGACTTTGATCTTGTAAAAATTTTGCACTTAAATCGTTTTAAGCTTTATTTTTAGAATATTACTCAATCGTGTTTATTGAAGCATAAAAATTACAAAAAAGTAGAAAAAAAGCTATTTTTAGCTGAAGTAAAAGTGTGACAAAAACAAAGAGCAAAAAAATAGTGTGCGAAGGAGTCAATGAATAATATTAGACATGATTTGTATAAGTAATGATATACATTGAATGAATATTTTTAATATTGACGAATAACATTGTGCACTTCTTTATAACGATGAATATTCAAATTTTGATAATTATGATAGTTTCGAATGATGATCGAAATGTTGAAATTAGTTCGATCATTCATGAATATGAAAAAAAAAGCTAACAACTCAAATATGTTAAAGATCATAAACAACTACGTCAAACAGCTCAGGAGAAAACCTCTTCTGATCTCAATGATTTTTTTATGTAAATTTACCACCTAGTGTTATAATAAAAACTCTAAAATGATTTTGATTTTTATTGATATTTGACAAAACTATGGAATTTTTTTCAGAGACTACAAGTTTTTATAAAAGTCGTATTTTCAAATTTTGACTTGAATCTTTGTAAAAAAAAAAACACCAGAGAACTCAACTAGACTAGCTCCTATAAAAGTTTTCACAAATTTTTTCAGCAAAGTCTCCTCAAGATATAGACTCTTCTCTATCGATAGTATATACAATAAACATGTTTTTAAAAACTTCTAAATTTTTTCATGGAGGCTAGTCTAATTGAGTGCTCTATATGCACAAAGTTTTAGATCACAATTCGAAAATATGATCTCCAAATTCTTTCGAGACTTTTATTAGAACACTATATAGTATTTACAAGCGAAAAGAGGCAGCTGAAGAGATTCCAACATCAATTTGTGATAAATTGAAATTCAATTTTTCGTACTTTTACTTTGTACATGAAACATAATAACAATATTTAAAAACTCAGGAATATTTTATTGTGTATGTGTCTGAGAGATGGGTGTATTTAGTTCAGAATTGAATTTTGCATTCAATAAGATGAAAATCAACGTTGTACAAGATATAGATGACTTTCAAAAAGCATCACTTTCCATAATAAAATTGTCTTCTACTGGGTGACAATGCCAAGAACATCGAAAAGATCAATTTTGCAGAAACTGATCAAAGCCCAAAGCAAATAATAAGTTGCGTGCAGATGATTGAAAAGGTGTTAGTCTTTTGAATTTTTCATCGCCAAGAGAAATATGTTTGAAAAAACAAGATATGCTATTTTGTAGAGAACTAATATCTCAGTCAAATATGAGCTTAAAAACAAGTTTTGAAATGATTTTAAACTGTTTTTTTTTAAAAAGATGTGCTCTTTTATTACCAGTGATCTGATATTTTATTTTCATTATTTAAGACTTTATCCTTGACCGAAATGATAGAGACACAATCGACATTTTGTTCTTTCATTTCATCTCTCAATATATAGTAGCAAAAAAAAAGAACAAAAGAAAATTTATATGAAATAAAGAAAAAAAAACGCTCATAGCAACGTAATTTTTACATGTTTTATTTTGACTTTTTTTTTTGCATTTTTATTTGAATGAAATAAAATTTGCTATGATATTGTTAGTTTTGTTAAAATAATAATCAAAATACAATTACAAATGAAACCTTTCAATTGTATTCATTTTACATTAACAGATAGTTTTTCATTTTCATACCAATGAATTTTCTATTAATTTTAAAAATAAATAAAATACAATCAAAAGATGAATTCATGATTCTAGAATTAGACTTAAATTTAGCTTTATTTTGTTATTATGATCGATCATTTCAATAATTTCATTGTTATAAAAACAAAAACAAAGTTTGTATTTGAATATCAATGAGATATTGTTTTGCTTTCTTGAAAAACTTTGTATTTGTACAAATAATTGATTAAAATTTAATCAATCGTTTTATTTTTAATTCTAGATTTAACTCTTCTTACCAAATATATTTATCTTTTATCATGATATCGAATATTTTAGATTGAAAATGTCATTTTTTAATTTAACATTGCTCGGTCATGATAATCGATTTAAATCTATGCAACGTCTTGAACCAATCAATAAACAGATTGATTCGAATGAATTACGAAAAGTTCCAACTGGAGGTCAAGATCGAAGTCCAGCCGAAAAACAATTAGCTCGTGAAGTAACTGGCAATATACAATCACGAGAATGGTCATCACCAGCTATATCAAATTTGTAAGTTTTATTTTTTTAATATATCAAAAATACTAAACTTATTTAATTGTTAGAAATTATCATACATTACGTACAATGCATGTACGTGGAGATCAAGATCCTAATCATATTACACGACAACCATTAACAACAGCTCATGAAAGTAATCATTAGAGAATTAAAATAATTTCATTAAAGTTTTTTTTTATTTTCAGTTGGTTGGTGGTCGAAAGATGCACCATTAAAAATAAATGAACCATGGACTCATGAAAAACATCATGTTCATGCTCAATCCGAAATGACTAAGTATAATATATACTGTTTTGTTTAGATTAACTTCTTCTATTATTAATTTAATTTTAGATTTGTCGATGATATGATTTTAACTGATCGTTATTTTCGTCTTTTTTGAATTTTTACAAAATCTTATCTTTCTATTTCATTTATATATGTATTTTAATAAAAATTTTCTTCTTTTTTTTTTTTTATTTGAATACAAAACAAAAAATTATATTTAACA